ATATTGCATTATAATAATGATATGAAAACCAAGTCCTTACATATCAATTCACTGCAACATGTATATACCATATGTTGGGAATGCGGACATCCAAAATTATAAAATTATCGATAGGGAAATTGAAATAATCACGCTTAACATATAGCTTAATGGAAAGCTGTCCATGTTGGTTTTGTTGTAGGAAAAGATCGAGATAAGCGGTTTATGAAGAAGAGTCTGTCGTATCTCTAATTTCCAGTTCTGATGGGAACATATGATAGGTTGTCAAGAAAAATGTTGTTATTTAAAGAAAAGCATCGATACAGGAGAATGCGCAAGGGATTAGTAATATATATATATGATAAGCTCTTCAATAAATTCGACCTCATCTAAAAATAAAAATGCTTCACCCAAGCGAGGGACACAATTCGCTCCCAAAGGAACAATATGTTATATATTTACCACCGAACTCGACGAAGATGTATTTTACAAGAAGTACGCTTCAGTACAGTTCACAGCTATATATTTGTGTTGTAGTTCACCTTTCTTTAAACGCTCTCTAAGCGGGAAAACGGAGACCTACCTACAGTTTGGAATCGGATATGGTAATTTACAGAGTTTCAAAATCTACCCTCCTTTTAGACTTTAAAAACAAAATCTTAGAAACAAGTGTTCAAATTTGAATTTAATTCCATTTCTTGAGTCAACAGTATCACAATAAGACTGTAACACTGATTTGATAGTACCAAGAACGGTAGTAAGAAGATAAATGTTGCTGCTAGAATGGATTCTTCAGGAATCCAGTACAAACGAGGGAGGTTAGCATTCTTATCATAAGTAGGCAATCTAAATGATTGTAATAATGAAGCCTGATCAGCCTGTCTTTCTTCTTTGGAATAATTGGATAATGTTTAAGGATAGATTCTTTGGTTATCTAACAAGCCCAGTTCTTTTAGAAAAAAAGATATAATAATGTGTACAAACAGCAATTAAGTTATTGGGTGTCTTCTCTGCAGGCACAGTAACAAATCATGTAGATCGTGAAGTGTATAACTAACATCGGGACCAAGAATTACGAGTATTATGTGGACATCTCTCAATTCTTGTTGCCTTTAGATACGAGAGGGTTTTGGAGTTTAACAAGCCGTGAAAATATGGAAAAAAAACACTATGGCAATGGTGACAAGTAAAATAGCCCCCGCCGTGTAACAATATGCTTTAATGTACATTCGTTTCTATGTACATTCTGCAAAATTAATCTACCTATTGTACTGCCTTAACAAAAATTTATAAATAAACAGACCACAAAATGTCGATCAAAACCCAAACAAACCTGGCTATCCTATAAACACATGTAGGTTGAGGCGCTGAAGGGATGTTAACCTAACATGCTTCCTAAACACGGCGTCTTAGTCGTCTAATGGAAGAAAACGTGATTTTGTATAATCCAAACCGAAAACAGGTTATGTAAAACATGTACGTTATGTTGTTAGATTTCACACGTTCTACGTCGTGTGTTTAAATGATGTTTAAGGCCCTATAGAATAATATCAGAAGTTATCCAGTCCAATTCCTCAAACGCGTGCGCCGGCACGTGATAGTTCAATGCTCGATGAACTGATATCACCAAACAGATAAAATCAAATTAATCCAACTCTAACGAACGCTTTAATACGCTGTAAAAATGCATTATAATAATCCGTAATGATAGCGGGTTCGGTCGGACACCAGACATTATCTAGTAGAGGTCATACCGTTGAATATTACATCACTTTGCATGCAGAGCTACGCACAGATATCGTTTTGTGATATAGGATTTTCTGCAGAACATCTGATAAGAAAGTTGTAATAATGCTCGGTTGGTGTGCTAGAGTCATGTTACAATTCAACGCATGGGAATTTGTCAATTAGAAAAATTAAATTTTAATTTAAAATTCTTTTTGATTCACTGTACCAGCTGATAAACACGTTTCTACCTAAACAGGCTACCGCCCATTTATCCAATGTAAGGTTGAATATTTCAATGTTTTATATATTGTAACAAGGACACACATTCACTTAAAAGAAATGCTCGACATACGTACCGGCACACCTAAATTTTAATGTAAACTTCTTTATAATTAGTCGAAGCATAGATTAAAAAAAAAAAGGAAAGCATATGTTTGGGAAAATAGTGAGAACACATAAGCAGTGTTTCACGATCTTATCTAGTCCGAAGGGTTCTGACAATCAATGTCCTATTTTGACTTGGTCTTGTCGATAGTCAGAATTCCTCCCTACTAGCGACCCCTGCAATTGTCGGCAAGTATGTAATGTTTTATATAATTTACAACAGCGCAATAGTTATATCCTACATTGATGGAAAGATAAAATTCTTTCCTGCTAACTTGCATAAGTTTAAAATTGTAGCAAACCAAATATCTCCCTACCCAATTTTACTTTCCAGCATACATGAAATGGCTGCCACTATCCGGAATCTCTCGTGCCGCCAATCTCGCGTGAATTTACTTGTGGTGACCTCATTGACACAGGTCTGTTCTCATGATCCTGGTTACTGTGCCCACCTGACAACTGTTGTCATACATTGTATGACCCCGGCTATAGGAGTCTTTCATGGCACCTGTCCTTATATGTTCTTGGCTTTTGATGTCCCTCTCGACTCCTGTCCTCATATGACCATGGCTGTTGCTGTTCCTCTCGACTCCTGTCCTCATATGAACCTGGCTGTTGGTGTCCCTCTCGACTCCTGTCCTCATATGAACCTGGCTGTTGGTGTCCCTCTCGACTCCTGTCCTCATATGAACCTGGCTGTTGGTGTCCCTCTCGACTCCTGTCCTCATATGACCCTGGCTACTGGTACCCTCCTGACACCTGTTGTCATATGACCCTGGCTGTTGGAGTCTTTTTTGACACCTGTCCTCATATGTTCCTGGCTTTTGGTGATGGGATTTTATCTCCACATGAACAGATTGAGAAATTAAAAGGCAGGGTATCCTTGAACAAATCTGTGGTTACCACGGTATTGAAAAACATACTGGAGGCCCATTACATTCATCAGAGTTATTAGGGTAAATTCCCTTTCGCAATTACACAAACCACATAAGTAAAGACTGTTCCTGTTCTCAGGCTCCTGATGTTGGCGTGGAGTGTCAAACCCAGCAACTCAGACCTAGGTAGGATAATGCTCTAACAGAGCGAGCTATCGTAACCTCCTGACGTTCTAGCAATATGAATATATAATAGTTACTATAGAAATAGTCCTTATAATCTAATTTGAGCAAGTGTTATCAATAAAACATCAGAATCTATGGTGAAGCATTGTACCACATAAAGGAGTATAATTCTTGTAGATTTTTACTTATCAGACAGTTTTCATAAAACATAGCAACTTCTCTTGTACTGATATTTTTGACCTGCCATTCCAGCTCGTTTCACATTATAAACTTCTTGAATATTGTAGAATGATTAATTTATAGTAACACTGATTTGACTATCCTCACTTAATTTTCTTTTTTCATAGGTGTCATTTGTTTTGTCTCTTGGTCCCTTCATTTTTTGCAGACAACTATGGTTCAGGTTTAGTTTTGTTGTTTATAGAAACTTAACAAGAAAAATGCAAAAATGAGTCTGGGGAAATTTGATATATTTGGGATATATATCAGTGTTACATGTACAACCCATTTTTTTCTTTTCATTTTTCAGAAATAACAGCCACTTTGGGTTATGAATTTGGCCTTTGACTGTACATTAATATCTGATACTGTTGACATTCAAAGTGGATCCAAATCTTATTAATTCTAACTAGCTATAAAACAAGCAAGCTTATAACACTTGTGGTTTAGAAATGATTCAGCTACAACTGATGTATAAAATTATCCTTTTCTAAAAAAAAAAAAAAAGGGGGGTAACCTTGAATATCAGTCAAGGTCATTTCTAATCGTGAGAGATTTCATCACAGGAACCTACATACAAAAAATTGATTACAATACATCTTCTCTGGAAATGGCAGTAAAAAATTTTGATTGCTAAAATTCAATCAGACTGAAAATGTATAACACACAATTTAGGGATCTAATGAAACATGCATGTACAATAGAATTTAACAATTATCCATCATACGTTCTCGGTAAATAGCAGTCACATGCTACATGTAGGACTCTTGAAATTAAAGATGGCTATGTTTCAGCCATGTTGTTTTTGAAATCAGTCCCAAAATTGACCTTGCACAACTTAAGGGCCCAAGAGGAACCTATATATGAAATTTGAGATTAAACCATCCAGTACTTCTCAAGATTTAGCAATAGCAAGTACTGTTTAAGAAAAAACTGATTATAGGCTGAAAACAGAGGCAGTAAGATTTGAACAACCATTCAACTAATGAGGTTGGCGCAAAAAGGTGGATCATATTGCTGTTATACCATTACATGTATAGTATTACACCTGCAGTACAAAAATACTCAAAAGACACTGAAACTCACATCAAAACGTACTTTATTATACAATGTTAAGCTATTGAAACAGTCCTCAGATCTTTCTTTCACATAGTCATTTGCAGGGCACTTTTTTGAGGTACAAGGAATGGAATATTCATCAAAAGTAGTTCTTATAACAGTTAATTATAACATTGCCATCAACTTATTACCTCTCGTGATAAGTTATTATCACAGTTGGAATTTAAAACCAGTTAACTCCTGTAGTGTCTGTATTGTAAGTTAACTCCTGTAGTGTCTGTATTGTAAGTTAACTCCTGTAGTGTCTGTATTGTAAGTTAACTCCTGTAGTGTCTGTATTGTAAGTTAACTCCTGTAGTGTCTGTATTGTAAGTTAACTCCTGTAGTGTCTGTATTGTTAGTTAACTCCTGATGTGACTGTAACTGGTTAACTCATGTGATGCCCATAGCCAGTTAGCTCCTGGGATATATAACCAGTTAGCTCCTGGGATATATAGCCAGTTAGTTAACTCCTGGTGACTGTATATAACCAGTTGTCCAGCCAGTTAGCTCCTGGGATATATAGCCAGTTAACTCCTGGGATATATAACCAGTTAGCTCCTGGGATATCTATAGCCAGTTCACTCCTGGGATATATATAACCAGATAGCTCCTGGGATATCTATAACCAGTTAGCTCCTGGGAAATCTATAACCAGTTAACTCCTGGGATATATATAACCAGTTAACTCCTGGGATATATATAACCAGTTAACTCCTGGCAAATCTATAACCAGTTAGCTCCTGGGAAATCTATAACCAGTTAACTCTTGGGATATCTATAACCAGTTAACTCCTGGGATATCTATAACCAGTTAACTCCTGGGATATCTATAACCAGTTAACTCCTAAGGTGTACATTTAGTTAACTAGCTCCTGATGTATCTGTCTGTGGTCTCGCCTTTGACTTCGCTATTTGTCTGGCCAGGTACCGTGCTTTAGCATCACTATAACTTTTATCGGTGGTATGTTTGGCGTACTTTGACTTCATTTCTGATTCACTATTCACTTTTTCTGATTTGCCAGACTCCTTTGATTGTTCAGTGTTTTTAATGTCTCTTTCTTCCTGTCTTTCTGTATATCTCTCCTTTGATCTTGGCCTTTTGTCTTTAGTCTTTATATCATTAGAAACTGACTGTTCTGATGATTTACTTATCCTATCTTTGGACGATGAACGCTTTTTCCTGTCCCTTTGCAAATATTTATCAGAATGACGGTCATTTGACCTTGACCTTCGTGAGCGTCTGTGCTGACTGGCACTATCATAACTTCTTTTATTTTCTCTGTCTCTATGGGATAAATATGGTGACCTTGACCTTCTTCTGTCTCTTGACCTTGACCTTTGTCTCCTCATTGGTGACCTTGATCTATCTCTCCTTTTTGGTGACCTTGATTTCTGATTCCTTCCTTTAGATAACTTAGTATGTCTTGTATCTGTTTCTTCCGAGTCAGATGAGTCACTAGATGAACTGGATGATGAGCTGTGTTTGGTTCTGTTTGATATTGCACTGAAAAAAAAAAACCCGAAAGTTATTACAAAAATTGACGGCAATCAGATGACTTCATCTGACATTTCCTTTACAGTCTGAAAACGATTTAGTTCAAAATATTTTTTTCTTTCAATACCCAATATCAAATTTCACTGTTAAAGATATGTACAAATTCTCAAATCCATTGCAATATCATTGTAGGCATTAAAGCAAGTTATCAAAATCAACAAAATCATTTTTTTCTAACTGAATATTTTTCCAAATCTGTATAAAGAATGTGCTTTGTCTAATAAACATTTGTATGTAAACATGTCCTATAATCTAGCATCACAACGAGTTTGCTAGTATTAGAACTCATATGTTTATATTCCAGAATTATAAGTACAAAATGCTTTATATGTTATTACATACATAGTTTTTACAAAATTTGACATCAACTGGAAAAAATTTGAAGGCATTCCTGCTAATCCCAAAATACAGCAAAATGTTTTTCATTCCCATAACATAACAAAAACAGGAAAAAAAAACACAATTCAAGGCAAAAAAAAGCATCTGGTAAGCAAATCTAAATTATAAGTTTTGTTCTGTTTTAAAGTGGTCACCATAAATGCTACCTATGGGGAACCCACACATGGTTGCTACGGTTACTCAGACTTATCATGAATCTGATTTCAAGGCAAATCCTTAACACTGATGTCACCAATGAAATTAACAGATAGGTACCACTTTGTTTATAGCAACACTTCTTCCAAACAACGTTGCTGTTGATTTCATATTGACTGTTTAAATACAAAGTAATTCAAGTTCATTCTTTTCAGACCATAGCTTATTAAGAAACATGCATATCTCTTATACAGAGCTTCTGTGAGGCCAATAGTACACGTAAGTAGTGAAGCCAACACAATATAGAACAGTATAAGGGAGATCACTCTTGTATATCTAAATACTACTAAATTATTACATGAATTGAAACATTGGGAAAGTATTTAACATTTGTAATCATATTAATATTTCTTGCATTACCAATTAATCAATTTCAATCTAATTATCAAAATAGTATCTCCAATTTAATCTGATACTTAATATAACCTGACTTTCCTACCACTAAGTGTCAGATAAACATCCATTAAGAATAATAAAAACCTGTCAATAGACATACATCTCAGCCTTGCTATCTCTAACAATAACAATTCAAATAAAAAGGTGGATTGGCCTTCTAGTGTATTTGGTAGTTAGTACATGACTGTAAGACATGGTTACCTCATGCTCTTACGTAAATAAGTATCACTGTTTGATGAATTTGCAGACATTGTCAAATATGACCTGATTTTGACTGATGACACCTTCATAAACATGGTGTAGAACTTGATGCTAAGATACTGTTGGGTAAATATGAACAAAGTCTGCTGATTGGTTCTAAAGATATGAGAATGATTCAAATCAGGATGTGGATGAAGAAAGGGACTGGGATGGGACTGAAGGATATGGGTAACACTCTAACTCCCCCACATAAACTGGTTGGGGCATAATCACATGGAATATCAACCATCCGAACACAGAATCCACCTTATGGTCTTACCCTTTGTCAACTGGCTCTGTTTTCACCCGACTTATATCTGCTTCAGTCTCAGGCTCTGTTTTCACCCTAAATCACACAGCGATACATAGGATGAAAATTACTAAGCATTAATAACAGCCCCAATATTATCAATTTACATCTACTTTATGACAGATCAAAGACATGTATAAAGCAATCATCTATTAAATTCACAAAAAAATTTAATTTCTTTTCAATTATAACCATCACAAAAGAAAATACTATAATCTGAGTAAAGAATATGAAAATAAATTTGATTTTTAATTTATTGACAGACTCTAGTTATATAATTTTTCACTTATATTTGAGATCTATAAACCCTCCTTACATTGTAGCAGATGGATCTCCATTGTGAATACTTTGTCCTGTTTTTTCATTCAGTAAATATCGGTAAAATCCACTCATGTCTTTCTGTTTCTTCACATCAAGAAGTTCTGAGCAGAGAAATAGATAAATACAATGCACAACAGCTTTATCGTCTGTTTATCAATTGCTATGTATCGCAGCCCAAAAACATATAATAATATGTATATCTCCCATTTATCAGGCACTATTTATCATAGCCTAAAACATGTATATCTCCCATTTATCAGGCACTATTTATCATAGCCTAAAACATGTAAATCTCCCATTTATCAGTCACTATTTATCATAGCCTAACAACATGTATATCTCCCATTTATCAGTCACTATTTATCACAGTCCAATAACTTGTATATCTCCCAAAGTAGTCACTATTCATTATCAATAGATGTATTCTAACAAAATATATATCTCCCATTTATCAGTCACTATTTATCAAAACCCAACAAAAATATATCAAATTTACAGTCACTATTTATCCGAGCCCAAAAACACATCTAGTCCACATTTGTTATTGTCCCCAGTTATCATAATCTCAATTTATTATAATCCCTAATTATCATAGCCAACAACACTAATCATAACCCCTATTCATAATTATCTGCATGTCACATAATCGCAATTTATCAAAGTCCCTGTTCATAGTTATTCCCAATGGCCTTGATTTTTCTAAGCCCTTGTTTGCATGACTGATCAGTATTCCTATTCATCTCAGTCCCCATTTACATTTTATTGTAGCCCAACAACACAGAGCCATCACTGTAGGCTTTTTCAAAGTTGAGTTCAAGTCACACACGAGAAGACATTCAACAAACATTTACATTTATACTTACCCTCCATGGCAGCTTCTCTCCTCTCCCTTTCAGCCTCTCTTTCCATTTCTTGTAGTTTCTCTTTGTATTTCCCAGTTACAAATACCTCCTTGTCTGCAAACTCTCCTCCTTCTGTCTCTCGTTCCTTCTGTATCTTCTTTTCCTGAACCTTTTCTTGCTCAAGTTTGCGTTTCTCTGCTGCCTTCAGTAAACCAGCAATATACTTTGGCTAAAACCAATAAATAAATAAATATGACTCATAAAACTTCGATCTAATACAGAAATTTGATATATCAAAATGATCCAGAGAAACACATTACTAAACTGTGAAGACAAACAATAAAGAATATCATGTTAAACATCTGATGTAAAGACATCTGTACAGTGGTTGGTCACTAAAGGAGTCAGGATAATATCAAATGTGGCTGAACTGTAGATCAGTGTAGAAATATGATCATAAACAATAAACAGTTACCATGACTTCAGAATAGCATGAACCACTGTCAATTCTCAAAGATTCCAATTTCTCGTTATCATCAGGATTAAGAAAATAGTGGACTTTAAAAAACACACTACACATAAATTGAGATTTTGATCAGGTCTGACCTTGTTATCCTTTTTGGCCTTGGCTCTTTCTTCAGCTTCAGATCTAGTGTTCGTCATGACGTCATAGATTTTGTCATACTCGTAGATATTAGGGTCTTGCTCCAGAGCCTGATCTATAGCTATCTGAGTCTGAAAAATATTTAATTGTAGTGCTAACAAGTAACTCAAGTTTTGAATCCAAAAGAAATTAAATCATAATACTTATAAGTAGCTCAAGTTCTGAGTCCAAAATAAATTCAATCATAGTGTTCAAAAGTAACTCAAGTTCTGAGTCCAAAATAAATTCAATCATAGTGCTCATAAGTAACTCAAGCTCTGAGTCCAAACAAATTCAATCATAGTGCTCAAAAGTAACTCAAGTTCTGAGTCCAAAATAAATTCAATCATAGTGCTCATAAGTAACTCAAGCTCTGAGTCCAAAAAAATTAAATCATAGTGCTTATAAGTAACTCAAGTTCTGGATCCAAAAGATATAATATCACACTACTCAAAAACAACTCTGATTCTGGGTCCAGAAGAAATTTAGTTACAAAGCTTGAAAGTTAATCAAATTATTAAGACAGAGGGAAGTATTGTATTGATATGAACTCTTCTAAATTGTCAATGATGTAAACTGTTCTTTTAACTGAATCACCTTACCTGTCTCTTGACCTTCGACTTGTTGGCCTCTTTATTGATTGTGGCATTGACCAGAGCCATTCCTGGTAAATCCTGTAATACAGTGACCAATGGCCAGTCAAGTACTGTCATATTTACATCAATATTTCAAAGTCAGTTATCAGTGTCTATTAAAATATGAATCCAAAAATATAACACAAGAACCAACGGACATCTGAATTGATCACTTTTATTGTTTTGAGTAAGCTTTGGAATATGTCTATATTCAGTTTTACAATTTAAAGTGCTTGTTGAGTATTGATGCATCTTTCAAATAAATAGACACTGATTTCTGAAAAACTAATAGCCCATGTATAAAAAGCATGTTTTGTAAAGGAAGGAATCAAAATAAGTGTTAACATAATATATAAGAATTAAAGTTAAAATTCATAGTTTTGTTTTAACAAAAACGTATTTAGGTTATTTAAGACCATACTTCATAATTCAATATACACCTAACATAGGTTGATTAAATGACCGTTTGTTATAATTTAAAGGTCAGTTAGCATGCACATTAAATAAATATGTATGTCAAGAAAAGATCAGCACTAAACTACACCTGATGTTTCAGAATTTTTTCTGCTTACAACAATATCTTCGATATGCACACAAGCACTGTTAAATATTCTCTACAAAATTATCCCTATAGAGGAGAAATTGTTGATCAGTTCATTCAAAATTGACCAAAAACTTTAATTGCACTATTCAATGCAGCATCACTCATTACCACATGTTATATATGCATTAAATAGATATATAAGTTTGACATACATCTTTAAAAATCTTCAGTTGGCAACGATATTATAAATTGATATGTAACACAGGTTTTTAATTGATACCATAAATTTTAGTTTATTGTCTTAATATGATCAGAATGAAATCTTGTCAAATGCAATTTGTGTAAGTTTTGCTCACATCATCACTATCATCATCAAAAACATTTGTGGTCTTCACTGTTGACTTCTTGTTCTTTGGTAGGAACAAACCATATCTGAAATGAACCGCCATAAAACATTACATCTCCTTAACATTATAAAATTCTTATCCAATTAAAAACAATGCTGCAATATATATATTCACTATCAGCTCACATGTAATTCATAAACAAATTTGTACCCTACTGGGTCTGAAATTCCAATTTGCAGCTCAAAACAATAGCTCACTACTAATCAGAGAAGATGTGTTAATTTTTTTTTTACTCGTGGGTTACAAAGTAAATGCTATTTAAATGTATGACTGATCTTAACATGTGAGTTTGTGGTTTTGCATGGTATTTTGGAGCCTAACACAGTTTTTTTTAATCATCTGGCATATATTTATAAAAGTCATAGTAATGGAGAATATGACTGGTTTGAATATTTGTTATTGGGGCTGCAGGTACTGGTTGGTCTAAATTTTGAAGTTTGTTATTTTCTTGTTTGATATATTGTACACGTAATAATCATTGGTTATGACCATGGCCAGTTCCAAAATATCAAGAGAGATATCACTTCATTCGCATAATTTCAGAGGGACCGAAAAGCAAATTTGAAAATCTAACATTCGTTCGCATAACTGTACACAACCAGGGACGTATATAACAGGTCGAATTGTCCATATGTCCATGGAACAACGTTTTATGTACGATTCGACAACTGCACGTACTGCAGTCGTATATAAGATAACACGAATGCATTGTTAACTATACGTCAAACACGATATTTTCCTTAGAAAACATTTAACTCCATACATAATGTTTGACAAAATGTCATTCATAATTAAAACACGTAAACATATGAACAACACAGTTACTAACAGAGCCGCAGATATTCTTACTTTTTGTTTGGAGCCGCCATGTTTCTGTTTTGCAGCAAAGAGCGATATGAAATTTGATTGGTCGTTATTATTATGCTTGGAAAGGTGGGCGTGACGGTACAATCTGATACTGGATTCTAAGTCGTTGAGATGGAACTTGGGGATTCGTATGATGTTCTCAAGCATCAGAAGATTGGTAAGGTTTCATTTCCGAGACATAAATGATATGTTGTATACGTCTCTGTATGTATGTAATACAACAGTTATTTATGGCATCTATGTTTCTACAAATATTCGATAAGTAAACAATATCACATCACACGGATAACAAGTCACTCAGTCGCGGCTTTTAGAAATGTCTCGATCCTACCTGCAGACATGTATCATAATTGATATTGCCGATAATTATATTTTGTATGTACACCATCACAGGCTGACGTAGAAACAAAGTCCGTGGTACTTGTTAATACATGAATTAGGATAAGGTAATATCGTATGATATATATAATACATTGTGGGCCCTGTACTTGTATTATACGAGTTTGTTTGTCAAAATCCCATCAAAGATCACGTTAGTCACTATACCCACCGACAGAGTTACATATCTACCACGTACTTGGATCAATTATCAGTGTATCTGCAATGCAAGTCTGTGTTAATGTACATCTTACTAACATAATGTAAATTAAAAATTTTAAAAAAAGTTTTATATTATACAACATGTTGGTTGTGAAAATCAAAATTATTCATTAAACCTCAGTGGTTTGTCGTTGTATACTATACAATCTTATCTGGTAGGACGTCAGTAATGAGTGTTTTGTTGTTGCTTTTTTTTTTTTTTTTTTCAATATTAAATTGTTCAGGAAAGTAAAGCCACCTGTGTTTAAATTTCATGAACTTACCCTCATCACACACACTTTACCCTTCGACATAGAATCAAAGGAATGTGGACTGAAAACATTCATCTTTATTTTGTATCATTTTTACTTAAAAGAAATAACAAAAAACTATTATGAAGTCAAGTTTTAATACATAAAAAATTCCGGGTGTACATCACTTTTTTTCTGATCTCACTGACAATGAAAATAATTCATCCCTAGGCTTCTTAAATATTTCGATATGCACAAAGCCTCGCAGCAAATTCCACCTCCATGCAGAATTCAACAGTTCGCTCAATTTTGCGAAGTGCTCATAATTATCTAAGACCAAAACAACACCTTACAAATAGTGTAACACAAGTTTTGAGTATTTCTGAGTTTCGCGTGGAACTTGTCCAGGTCAGATTGTATCCATAGCCCAGTGAATGTTTAGCTTAAAATGAGCACGTGCACTTTGTGGCCGTCTACGTCCGCCATCTTGGAAAGACCATTCCATAACGGGTACACGTCAGTGTATGTGCAGTGGTCAAACATATGGTGCAGCAGGGTTTTCATAATTTTGTTAATAGTAGGCTGTGTAGTGAAAGTAGGAGGCTGGCTAGGTGGGGGTGGCCTGCCATGTACGTGTAGTCGTGTATGGAACATTATTACGGAACTGGATTGGTGTAGGCGGCCAAATGACCAAAGTAGCCGGTCAAATTGGCCGGAAACCCAGACGGTGCATGTATCCAGGGGCGGATACAGGAATTTAAGTTAGGGGGGCGTTATAATTAACTTACTTAACTCTTTCTGTCGTTATGTGATCAGCTATAATAAAGTTACTGTATACTTGAAAATTAGCCCAACTTAAGTCATCTATAGCTGTTTAGAACAGTGATAGTCATAACATACGACCAAGACCATCCAGTATACTTCGTAACTCACCCTTACTCTGCCAATTTTAGGGGGGGCGTGCGCCCCCCTCTAAATCCGCCCCTGGTATCATAATGCTTGCTTTCGATTACAACATATCAGAATCGACAGGTACAGTAAATTGTCGGTAAAAGTCACTTTGTATTCCGTTACAAAACTCATTTATGACTCAATGTAGAGGAGCTGTCCTCTTGCCATAGCTAAATGTGTACATGTAGGTTAGCCATTGACGACTGCAACAATTTTGGAGATATTTGTCGAAAGACGGAAATTTTTCAGCTCAGAAGTTCATTACGTTTCATTTACATACACTGGATAGAATACCTGTATACTACTTTGGGTAAATATCAGTAAATACCAGTTTTACAACCTGGGTACTCCTGGGGTTACCTCCCTATCGCTCTATGCACCCCGGAACATTCCATGAAAAAAATCAATGTTTCCATGTGTGACACCTTGTGAATCTGTTGTACATCAAACGAGTCGAGCGGTTGCATAACGGTATGGTTTACTGGCTGTGAAGTTGGGTGTTGCTATCCAAAGGGGCGAATTAGTCCGTGATTGCTCAGATTTTTTCTCCTAAATCCCGCTCTAGGTCAATCAAATTAATTATTCACTTGTGCCTTCAAATTTGTCACGAAATGTTCCAGGGGTGTAGAGAGCAAAAGCGATCGTAACCCCTGCAGTATAGAGAGAATGGATGTTCATGTCGTAGAACACTGACTCCGTCCTTACACGTAGAAATGCATTGATTCACCAAGTATTGTAATTATTAATGTTTTAGGAAAGGGCACACTTGTAATAATTGGGCACAATCTAATTGCTTTAATCTTACTGATTTAAGTCAAGAAAGTTTTCATCAATTTTAGAGTGTATGACCATGGTATTGAAATAGGTAATGACACACGTATGTGTAGATTGAAAAAACACTCCCAGAATGCTATGATTATGTACAACATGTAGATTTGCATTTCATTCTCCATTGATCAGATAATAATTTGGCAAGCTTCAAGTTCTGTCTCCTAGTTGCGGAAAATTTTTAACACTACTTGAAGGGATCACACCAACTTTAAAAATGCTATGTCCTCACGTAATATTAAAATCACATATGAGATCCGTTTATTTAATAAACAACCATAAGAACTAAGTAAGACAGACCTGCCACCAGTCTGATTTAGTATTATTTGGCTACAAATATTTGTAATATTTATAAACACTAATTCGTTATATGTATGTTGTTCTTGTTAGCCACCAAATTGCACATATAACTATGATTGTGCTATTTAAGTTGAATTTAAATAGTTGAAAATATATTTACAATAAAATATATTTCATTTGAAAAATGTTACATTTGTATGTAAATTGATGATATCGTATTTATTATTATTTTTTTTAACTTACAAAAAAGATATCAAGATGTTTTAAATTATCCTCAGAATTTGCAATGTTATTTACTATTTGGACGGGTGATTGTCAATATCAGACCGACCACATGAAATCGGGACCCAGTTTGGACATGGTCATGGTTAACCTGTAGTACTAAGTAAGTGAATTTGTTTTAGATGTGAATTGAACGATATTGGGACTATTTATTTCATATGATTTCACACCTGCAGAATTGCGGAGACAAGTCGGATTGGTGAATTTCAGTGCCAGTTTTGTTTTGAAAGTCCTCGAGTGACAAATTAATTATTTCACTAAAAACTGTTTCACTCTAACCGAACGTGAAACAGCTGTATAATAATATCTATTATTGTACGCGCTAACTATGTAATACATGTTTTGTATAGATTGTGTGTTATGTGATGTTTTTGTTTATTTGCTTTTGATACAGCGGTATGTACAGGAGATAACGATCGCTCCTTCCCTTCCTCCCTTCCTTCCTCCCTCCCTCCCTTAGTGTGTCTAACATTCACTACCACACGGGCCTGTTGCAACGTTTCTGGGAGGCTGAGGGCTTGTATGAAATACTATAACTTGGCCACTGTGATAACTACCATGCCGGGAGAGGGATTGTAAAACTTTTTTTTTCGTCTAATCATCACTTCTTTATTTTTCAAATGACATTATGCTATATTCGTTCTCTCAACAGGTCTAACAGTTTCCGTGTCTCTTTGTCTGTTTGTCCTGTACGTTGTGGTGGCTGTTGCTGTCTACAAGCCTCTCCGGGAAAGACAGCCTCGTTCTGACGATGCCAATGATGTCGCCATGTGATGTAGCAGGCTTATACATATATAAAGTTTTTTTTAATGATTACTTAAAGGTGTAGAAAAGAATTTGATGAAATTCGAACTTTGACACCATATACATTGTTTGTTGAAATAATTGGGTACATGTACACGCATGTTATTAAAGACTGTGGTTATGATTAATGCTGAATAAAGATATCAAACTAAATAGATACACAACTTCATACTGTATATGAAATGAATTATCCATTGTTATGTTTGGATATATATTTACGTATGGTGTGGCATGATGATAATTTCAGCCTCAAAACGAAATAGTTTGACTTCAGCTAAGCATGTGAAAAAGAACAAGAATTTAATCTTTGCTTTAAAAGGGTATCGCGCAAAGAAATATAAGGATAGGTACCATAAAGGGCAACTGAGTACATATATGTTGCTCCCTAGCACGTGGCGATGAGATAAATTTACTTATTTCCAGAGTGTGGGTTGTGAGTACAGTGAACATTTAAACATTTTAATTGGTTGGGGTAGATAGACATGCGATACATTGATCAGACAACTAACTTGATCGTCCAATTCATTATCTCTGAGGCTACATGTAACTACGCAAATGCATGCAAGATTTCTGCGTCTTTTACAGAAATAAACATCGGAATTCTATGAAATTGCGCACGAGTGTGTGCGACTGCAGTGATGTGTTCAAGTGCGCCTTTCCTATTTTTCGATCGATTACCATGTAAACTATATGCAGTCTTCCCGCTGATTGAAATTTTGGTGGTTTATTCATGACAATTTGAACGCAACTGTGGCTTACGTTTCCTGATTGGGCATAATGACCGTCAAGGAAATGTCGCTTAAAAGTATACAATGAAATTAAATATTGTTCAACTTTTGAATAGCAGACGTAGTTTCAGATCCTCGTTGTTTGCCAGTTTAGTGCACGATTTACCGTTTATCAGACTTCAAACAAATAAATTTTGTGACATCTTTGATACCTAGTGAACCTTAAATAGCTGTTCACTTTACCTATCACGACCTAACAAGCCTTATCAACAACACTTAACATTTCATAAAGCGCTTTTCGATGCCATGGTATGCAAACCCAACATCGAAATCGATTGTACTTTCTCGTGGATGAATGAACAGCCAGTTCACGTTGCTAATGGCAAAACATACACGTATTTACTTAAATCAGGGATGTAACAGACGATAAATAGCACAGCTACTTTTCACTGTGTACACAAATGCCGATGACATATCAGTTTTCCTATAGTATTGATTTTACACAGAATACAGCATCTGCTTGACAGCAATATTGCTCAGTATGCTTAATCCCAAAAACTGACAAATTTAATAATCTACTCTAAAACCTATCTCTCAAATGAGGATGGGCTCATTTTGACAGAGTTTGTTAACAAAACGTAACATGTTGAGGAATGGCTTGTCACATCAAATATGTATGGTTTATGAAGTCAGCGATAGTATACAAACAAAACCTTTTCCTTGATTGATCACGTGGTAGTAATTAAACCCGGATATGTTAATGTCATAGGTCGTGTTGCCATGACTACTTCACACCTTGTTAAAAATATATAGATATGTAACATGCATAATTAATCAATCAGTTATGCATATTTTAATAGAATATTTTTTATCATATATTGGATGCCTTGCCATCAACAGGAAAAACTAGCATGCAAAACAGCAGTGCAATGCTACAGATATATCGACTGTACATAACATACATCAATATTACCTATACAGCGAGTCCGGGATACCTGTATACCCGCCAGCGATGTTGTCTCAGGTGATACAGACCTCCACTTTTGGCAGCATTACTATTGGCAAACATGGTTTGTAGTGTTGTCTGTTTTGTGGTTATAATATAGTTCCAGTGAATTGAAGGTCGTGATACAAGCAACATACACAGGAACTATGGAGACAATAAAGATCAACCTTCGAGGGACCGTCTTTACGACATCATGCAAGGTTCTACAAAACTACCCGGACACGAAACTAGCTTCCCTAACCGACCAATCTGAAAATTACAACACAGAAAGGGACGAGTATTTCTTCGACAGAAATCCCTCTGGTTTCCATAACATCTTGGATTTTTATGTAACTGGTAAATTGCATATCTCGTGCACGGTCTGTGCTGACAGTTTTAGGCAGGAGCTCCATTTTTGGGGAATCCCTACGAAGTTTATCAGTAAATGCTGCTGGAAGGCATTCTATCAACTGGACGAGGATATGGATGTCTTAGAGAAGATCTTGGTTCGACTCAAGTGCGGCCTACGTGAATCTAATGTTGAAGAAGATAGCAGTAGTTCCACATGTCATCGACTCCGGTCTAAAGTGTGGAGGCTACTGACCGAAGTTCAGTCATCGACACTAGCAAAGGTTAGTAACTGTGCGTGTCCAACAATCCCGGGAAGGTGTTTATAGTAATGCGTTAATGAAACGAATTCAAACACCGATATATTGCTACTTCATTTATGAAATTGAACGAGTGATATACAGTAATGTAAAAAAAAATGTGTTAATATAACGATTGGAAAATTTTAATCTCACAGACGTCATTGCGCTCAAGAACTGTTAATATACAATGTGTTGAAAGATTGTAGATTTGTTTTCCAATGACATCCGAGAACACCTGCCGATCACTTGGGATATGCCGTCATTGTTTACAAAAAAATGTTGCTAATGATTGCTTCAAAAACATCACGGTTACATTAGGAAAGCAAATGCTTGTATTTTGTAACTCTAACCAAACACTTGCATATAAGGTTGATATCTGTAACGATATATACTCTAAACAAACAGAAAATGCTAGCGGGCTTAAAAACAAAAACAATACATGTTTATCCATCTTTGTTAAAGAAGACACTGTAACCCTTATCGTGATAACAACGCTTAATGTAATGATATTGTATTACAAATGTAAGCTCCGCAACTGCTACGCTTTATGTAATGATTTCGATTTTATTACAATAAGCGAACCAGTCGTTACGCTTAATGTAATCATTATTTTCGAGAGACAAAGCGAGCTTTCTTTACATTGTAGACGTAGCTCTAACTACGTATGATGTGTTCACTGACCTGTCTTTTTCGGACAAATGAAAGTGTGTAACGCTAGTTAATGATATTTTAAGATATCTTCAATACATTGTTCTAGTCAGTTTCCAGATTATCTAATGACGAGGGGTGTATATTCATATACTTAGTGGTAACATACTGATAATGCAAAATAAATTGACAAGGTGGATTCTGTTAATGGTGATTTTTTCAATAGATGTCAGATTGTCGCTACATTTTGTAAAACAATTCCATCGTTTCTATTTACAAAATGGTTATATCGCTAAAATTTGAACTCTCGGAAATAAAAATCTTTACAGTAAACGAAACCCGATGCTAATATTACTATGTCGATTTGATATACCAGTATGTAAATTCTATTGATTTACAAACTCTAGGCAGTAACACGTTGATGACATCGGTACATTCTGATGGATTATTTGTCGTCTGGGTCGTAATGATACAACTCGCTCCATCATCTGTATCGAGTTATGCAAGCCTACGACTTGACATTAACACGTTGAATATGTTATGAATTAAATGTGCTATGATAGGAAATTAAATGATTATATCTAAAAGCAAGTTATCTGCAATTATAAGAGAAACATCAAATATTATTCATATAATATTCATGATTTAATTGTGTAACGTTAGAAAATAAAATGATTGTATTGAAAGTAATGAAACGGCATACAGTAATGTGCGGTATTTAACTTTTAAGATTTTCTCGCCCATCCTTGAAAATAATCGCTCCACCTCACAAAATAGAACCACTCAGTAATTACAACTTTTACAGTGTATCAGTAATGGAGATGTTAAGTCAATACTGCAAAGGTCGATATTTTCGATGGTTCCAATTTTCGTGGTTTCGCTTAAGATGTATTTTTACCTTGTTCGAGATTTTAGTCTCTCCTTGAAAATATGGGGAAAAATTGAAAATAACGATCTTGACAGTGAAATGGTTAAGGATACAAATATAGATATAAAGATGCACAAGGGAATAGCCACGTCTGAACAAATACAATCAGATACAGTAGAGTCAAAGAATCCTTAATGATGAAGCATAAACATTCGTTCTGGACCAGTCCGTGATGCTGAAGACCAAAATTGTGGATACCTACAAAAAGTGTCTGGTGATGGAGGAAAATTAAAATTGTTCAAACTCGACATAAAGAATCAGATCTAAAGCATACCCCAAAATGAGATTAATAGAATGAGATATTTGCAGACTTGATGATTATTTGACAGGTATAAACGTTATCAAAGTGCCTGAGGAAACTGTTCGATGTTAATAGTGTACTGTCATTGTTTGTCTTGTAGGTCTGGCATAGCCTGTTTGCCCTGGTGTTGATTATTTCGATATTGGTGTACACCCTTCAGACACTCGAGGAGTTCCGGGTGGAGAGAAATGACCATAAGCGACTGGACACTAACACAAGTTCCGTTAAACTACGTCTGCTTTGGAACACCTCGCCACATCCATGGCTGATCGGGTTAGATTTCGTTTGCAATGCAATTTTGACATTAGAGCTTATCTTGCGCGTGCTGACATGTCCGAACTTGAAGGAGTTTTGGAAGAGCGTTTTAAACGTAATAGATTTGGTGTCGTGTGTGGGTATATGGGTAACCCTGTCTTTCGAGAGCGTGCATACCCATTTAGATTTCGGTCCAATCTGGATCATCTCGTGCGTGTTTGGATTTCTGTATTGTTTCCGGATACTACGTGTCCTCCGACTGTTCCGTCATAACTGTGGAATGCAGATACTCTATCTTAGCATCAAGTCCAGTTCCAAGGAACTCTGTCTCCTCGCGTCTGCATTTGCGTGTTTCGTAATCATATTCGCGGGTTTTATATATGTTGCCGAATTACAAGCGGACACATTTACCGACATGTTCATTTCTATGTGGTGGTCTGTAATCACCATGACAACGGTGGGGTATGGCGACCATTTCCCTTCCACTGGAACTGGCTTCGTGGTCGGGGCGGCGTGTGCATTGGTTGGGATATTGCTGATTGCACTTCCGGTTGCGGTTACTTCATCAAATTTTCATGACTTTAACAAGTTCAACAAATATAGAATTCGACACTTCGTTTTGTCAGAAAAGAAAAGTATAGATGAAATTGGAAAGCGTTTAAAATTGAAATGTTCGAAAGTAAAACCAATGGATATAAAAAAACATAATACTTTTGAATAATCGTCAAGTTATGGGTGATGGACTATTTGGAATTGACCCGTATTGACCCCTATACGTGGTACGAGAAGGATGCCAAACTGCTGTGTCCAGGTTATGTCATTGCAGTGTGATGACACTGCTGTAAGAGCCCCTATACGTGGACTGACGACTGCAGGATGTTGTTTGGGTATGAAAAGGGAAATTAAAGTGGTTGACCACAACTCTATCACTGTGGTATGAACCTAATGGGGGATAACCCCTGTCTTTCGTGTCACCAATAAAATCGTTTCATTTTTATACCAGTTTTTAAGACAGAATAGGATGATACCTAAAACATGCTTGGCAATTACCAGCATTTGAACAAATTTCAGCAATCATGCTAGGTGACCTAATTACTATGCCATGTGATAAAAGACAGTAAACATTTATATTTTTTTATTCAGTTTTTACGGATCGTCACACAAATGAAACATAAAAAAACACCATTTTTTCCACTGGTTGTAGGGTCTATCCTAATAGTTGTTGATTGTACAGTTGTGTGATCGCACAACGTTACACGATATGCGATGTACGCACGATGTCTGAACGATGTGCGCACGATAGGAAAAATGGACGAAATAAGCTATCGCACATTTGTGCACACGTTGTGCGTTTCTCTCATTCAAACGTGCGATTCTATCGTGGTTGATGTAAATTTAGAAATGACTTATAAATAAGTGTGGGACAGGGTTTGTTTATTTTCTAAAAATACGAAAATACAGCTAGGTAAACTTCCAAATTAAAACATTAATATATAGTTTGGACGCTGGTAGATATATCAGATACACACTGAATAGCTAGATACACTCGTAATTTTAAGTGTTTAGTTTACAAACAGCCACACGTGCCCAGCCTTAAGGTACGGACACACATTATATATACATTATATATGCAAACAATAAACGTCTCTAATTCACAGCATTTAAAACCTCACACCATCGGAAAGCAATTTTTATTTTCACTACTTCATTTTGTAATTAAAAAGATATGCTCACGTAAATCTTAAGTGTTGTGTTTGTTACACGGGCGACGAAAATCACCAAACCAACTTTGGTAACAAATGTTACATGTAGTGTATGTAAAATACATTTCTCATGTCAGTCTCTGTTTTGCATGACATTCATCGTTAAAACTGGCAAAAATCAAAGGTTGTATGGGTTTTCAAATTAGTCTTTTATAACAGAAAAAGAACGCAACGTTAAAGAATTGAAAATTAATCACACCTTTTTAAGTGGTAGAACATTGGTAAGAACAAGGGTTAGAATACTAGTTTCTTACATATTTACTAGTAAGAAATGTTTTTTAATCACGTGTAGGCGAGATAACTCTTATTGGCCTGTGTCCGTAATGAATATAATATCGAGAAACGCACGTAAACTTGAAATACCCAACACGACAACCGCACATACACAACTATCATAAAATCTATATAACGATCCCTTTATTAAGTTAGAAAATAGCACGTGGAATGATAATTACTGTACTAAATAAACAAAAATGGAAAAAGTAAAAGAAAAAACAAAATGAAATAAAATAAAAAATATCAAATAAAAGAAATAAAATGCTATTTTAGAGACTGTATATTCAGACGAAATATAACTATATAATACAACAATGAGGATTCGACAGAGAGAGTAGGTAGTGTTTAAGAAAGTCCAAAATCATCCTATTCGGCCTGGAATATACCTAGCGAAAATGCATAATCAGGAACCCCATTAACTGTCCCATTTAACACCCGTATGACCTTCTCTAATATTTTTTTTAAATTCTGACATAGTCTGTGAGTTTATTGCTGATAAGACACGAATAGTATCGTCGTCATTAAATAAATCATCACACTCAACAAATATCATTTTCCTTCCTCTGTTTCTATCTCTCTAAAATTACGGATTTAGTTTCAATGGATGATTTGCTATTCATATTTCACTAAGGATCACTTTAATGGATTTTTGGGCAGACATGAACATGGATATTTTATTTGGTTAAGACTACAGTTAATGTTTTAAAAAGTAATTGTTATTTAATTCACTAGTACAATAAATCATTATAATAGATATACACTGTGTCAGGGGAAACGGGTTACCTTTATAAACGGTAACAACGACAAATTTGCTTTAGAAATAACAAACTAAACTCATATTTGATTGAAACTCTGCGGCGACCGGATTGACAAATCCATTATTTTAACAGTCCCTTGCTTTAGATGCTTTTCAGTCACACATGCTCTATGTGGACTAGCACAAGAATTAGTCATGGCCGAAAGTCCTAGTAGCGTCCGGCATAAGCCGGTCAGGGTACTTTTCTGGAAGACATGGTAGTCAGTTTTCACATCGAGGTTGATGCATGTTGATGAAATAGAGACATAAGTTCTCATTCCGGAAGAGTCCAAATGTTCTTAACTTTGACCCAATGTAGTCTTTCTGTGACATGGCGGGTAGTAAAGGAAACTCGTTCAGTTTTGTACATTAACCAGCATCATCTTCCAACGTGTGAGTTTCTTCCCATGTACTATAATCATTTAGAAATTTACTTTATGTACCTGTGGAAGCCTGCAACATGTTACGCTGTGGATGTGCATGTGTATGTGTTGGTTTGGAAACAACCATATACCTTTGACAACACAATTTGAGGCACACTAAAAGGTCTGGTGCAACCTCATGGAACAAGGCAACATGTAGCATTACGATTTCCATATTAGTTTCAGCGTCATTTAGCCGTTTTCTATGCAGCATCAAAAGACAAAAAGACAAAACAAAAAAATATTTTAAATAAAATAACATGTACTTTAATTCTTGAGTAAACACATCCATCTGGACGATTTGGAAGTCTGATGTATTCGCCCTAAACAGAGCGAAAGGAAAACTTGAATCTCTTTATCAAAATGTAAGTGATGCCTAACAAAAATGAGAGAGGAATATATTTGACGGTATGTGGAGTATTACAATCGAAATTACGATTCACTGATTTGTTTTGTTTTTGCTTTATATTTATCATTGTTTATTTTTCATATTGGACATTTAATTATTCAATTGTTTAAATTGTTGAAAAGTAAATGAGATCTAGAATGACGAAGATAGATAATCAGTCTGAAGTATGTAGCAAACCAATTTCTTTCCAGAAGGTGAAATTCTTTAATGGTCAACTCTTTGGAGAGCCTCAGATTTGATTAATAACAGAGAGATGTCAGATGGGTAGACTATATCTAGGTAGATATTAGAAATGATGGAATAAACAAGTGTGACATAAGTAACATAAGGTACTGGCACGTAGATGAGTATTTCTACACTGATTACACATAATTCATACGGCTTTACTTATGCTTTCCTGTGCACTAGTATTTGGATAATTAACTACATGTAACACTAGCCGTAGATCAACAAAGATGGCTGACCATGTGTACATTAATGTCCGACCGCCTACCTTATCATACCTTAGGAATAGTGTACATGTATATTTCTGCATATTAATTCGTATTTCAAACTAAATTACCTTTTAAAATTATTTGCTAAAAAAGCTTATAATGGTTCATAAGTACGAGTAGTGAACGTTCCCAAATGCTAACAAGGTAATGGACAACGGAACCATAAGACAAACTAACGAGCATCAAACACGCCCAGCTTCATATCAATATCTTTCAATGAAATCATTTTGACGATCGTTAAGCTTCCCTATAGTCTTCATCAACCTCTGTGATTTGAGTTTTACTGGGATCAAACACTTGAATATTAAATCAACTGCGACGTGTGAATACCAACGGATGATGATTCAGGCAAATTGCTATTCAGAAAAGGAAACTTCACTAAAGGGAAATTGAAATGGGCACGCTTTTCGTACAGTTAGTAAGTTGGTGGCTCTCCTTGTCGTTTTCGAAGAAGGAAAAGGTCGGGGTAAGCGACAAAATCGACCATGTCCTTGGATACATGGTGAATTGATTTCTTGTCATTTAATGACATCTTTACTAAAATTGAAAGTGAAATTGAATATCTTCTTAAGCTCTTGTGGTCTGTTTTGGTAAATTCGTGGATATATTCAGCCTCATATGATACAAAAACAAGTCCGCCAAGAGAGGTGCAAAGTTTGTTCTATAGATACAAGTGTATATGTCCATTGCCTTTTTGGAAGATTTTACAAGTGATCTCGACGAATATATTGTCAGCCAGAGATTCGATCGTTTTTACGAGTTCGTCTTCCGTATGTGTTTCCGTTTTGATTTGAATGAATTTTTCACGGAATGCAAGTCAGAGTAGTTCACATCCATACATTTGTACTGCCGCGTACCTTTTTTTGCAAAGAAGGCTTTCATTACAAGAGAATGTAGGCGTTCATTCAGTTCGGAATAAGGTACGGAATGTTAGTATAAAGGAACGGAAACAAATTCTACAGAAGAAAAGGTTTTTTAAAACAGGACGACAGTTCTTTGCAGTCCTTTAAAATTCACATATATGTTCCATTAAGTTCATAAATTACTTATAAAATAACAAACTGTCATCTCTAGAGCAAAACAGTGAGTGTGTCTAATATAATGGGTAATGCCCGACTTACAGTAATGCTGAGCTATGCGTTACCTAAAACGGTGATATACTTACTTATAATGGTAAATTATACCAAAGACAATGGAGATAGGATATGTTAAGACAATCATGGGTTATTGCATGGTTTCCGAGTAGCATGGACTACTCCAAGGTCTTCGCGAGATACCAATCATACTTATCACCTCGAACAAACGGGACGAGAGAGTGACAACTCACCTTATTGCATATTGGTGGTTGATTACCTGTGGCTAAAACTAACATATACCATTTATTACATTGTGACTTCCCATCTCTCACAATTGAAAAATATTGGTAATAAATCACTTGTTACCGCAGTCATTTGCAAACCTAACTCCTTTTTATGGGGAATCATGATTACATGCCCATGAAAGGAATTATGTGTAGTTAACTGTGACCTGAGAGAGACCCGAAAAGGGGAGACAATCCATA